TGGAATCTGGAAACTTAGGGCGTGCAAATCTGGAAATCTGGAATCTGGAAAGCTACGTCCTGGAAAAGGCCGGAAATCATTAAATCCAGAACCTGGAAACCTGCAGGCGTGGATCTTGGGGGGCGGGGGGCGAGCATATATATATATATACACATACACAAATATGTATATTTAGGCCCCCTTATTGGTCTGCTCAGTTTCGCGGTGGCATCCTGGCATGGAGATCCGGCTGGTCTACAGCGAGGCAAAGGAGTTAAGATGCTTCGCTGACATTTACCAGGACCATCCCCGTACCCTTAAATCGAGGAGCCTCCCCGTACGCTTTCAATCGGTGTAGATGGTCCTGACGGAAGCTGGGAGGGTCTCGGTGAACAAGCCCTAAACCCCAAACAAGGCATGAAGTAATGAGTTTATATCATGAAGGGCCGGTGCAGGCGTCGTAGCAGTAGTCGTCCTGGTCCTCGTCCTCGTCGTAGTCGTAGTCGTAGTTGTAGTAGTCGTCGTAGTAGCAGCAGCAGTAGTAGTCGCAGGAGTGGTAGTAGCAGCACCGTGGCACCTTCAGCTTTCGCTCTGTCAGGTCTTGCGGGCCTCTCAGCAGCCTCCACAGCCTTGTGGTGGACCATTCGGCGGACACCCACCGCGAGCAGCTCGTCTTTAAGGTGTTGAAGATTTCCTGGGACTACATAGTGTATAGTATATGCTATATTACATATATATATATATATATTTATTTATTTCTTTCTTTCTTTCTTTATTTATTTATTTACTATCTTCATTATATATGCATAAATGTAGTGTCTACCATATATTGTATGTTGCAGCTTGTGGTGTCGAACTTTCGAGAAATGATCTCAGAGGCTCAATGCAGGTGACTCTGGCAGACTGGGATACTTCTGTTCTGTGTTTGATAGTTGTTGCACGTCGCAGTGCTCCTCGTCGTAATTGCGGCCATCATCACCAGCATCATCACCACCGCGAAGTCTACACGGGCTTCGTAAGCTTGATCATCAATAGCAACAGTTCTCATAATCCTTACCATCGTCAGTGCCATAACTACATGTTCGTTTGCAGGAAGGTGCCTTGACGACCACACACTCTTTCATTCATGTTCATGTTCGCGGTCATGTCATGCGCTGCAAAAGGTGAGGTGTATGCCGAGCATCGTGCGGCCGGCGACAAAGCCGATAATCATCATTGACTGGTCATGCACGGGATGCTGCTGCCGATGATGGTGACGATGGTAACCAGTGGTATTGGTGATAACAATGACGACCGCATCTACGTTCGAGACAAGACATCGGGAAGATGATGATGATGTGTTGTACCGCCCACCACCTTGGCCTTCGGAATGGGGTGAGTAGGTTGGGGTGGTTTTAGTTTGGTGCAGCGTGCAGCCCGACCCTGCATGGTCAATGACAGTTCGGTTATCGCTACCGAATACTTCAAGCTAAGACCCTAGACTCTCAAACCATCACGGACCATTTTCTTGACCATTGCTCTGCTGCTGAAAACATAAGAAACCATTCTTCGCTTTTGTTGTCATGTTCGTCCATCGGTCGCCGCTACAGCACTTCAGGACATGCCCCTACCGCGACGGCGGCCCTTCGCGGGCATTCTGCAAAGCTCCAGATTTGGAAAGGCTCTGGAGCCGTTATTGAATAGTACATTGTGTTATTATATGATATTACTACATGTAATATGATATAACATAGTACAATATAAACAGAATATGGTACAATCGGGGTCAGGGTCGAACCTACCAGGAAGGCCGCTTAGCAGTCTTTCGGCCTGTTGCATCCGGGTGAGCAACCAAGTCCTTGATCTCCGGATTTGAATTTGATTCTGGGTTTAGGGTTTAGGGTTTAGGGCGGGTTTAAGTTTCATCTTCTTGCGGGGATCAAGGATTCCGTGTCAATGCTGCGCTTTGACCAAAACTCTGACGTGACAATCCCGAAGCCTCCCGCGCCCGCCTTTCGCCGGGGATGCATTCATATCATGTCAAACTTTGGCCGTGTTGTGGGTGTTAGGGTTTAGGGTTTAGGGTTTTAGGCTAGCTATACTCCTTGGGCCATCTGGAAGCGAAGTTTCACATTCCCGGAATGTTGGGCTCATACAGCCAGAAGCGGAGTGCGTTTCCAGACACTTTGATCTTCTGGGACAATGTAAGGGAGCACATGTTGGAAATGCCGGGATCGTCTGAAGCGCGATTATATACGCATTATGTGTGCATACATATATATATATATGTGGGTCCGTCATTGATGTCAAGGATGGTTGTAGTCTCTGGCTTGATGATGTATCCTCTTGATGTGACCGGCCCCATTGGTGCTTGGAGTGGATAGTTCATGCTAGAAAGAGCCTAAATAGTTGCCATTACTGAACTAGTTTAGAGGTTCTTACTACTGTGATAAGATTGTAGATCCTGCTTCGGCTAGTCATGTTTCATGGCTAGGGTCCTAGAGATGCGCTCGGCTGATGGATGCTCTATCCCATACAACCCTATACCATACAACCACCACAATGGAGACAAGGTGCCAGCTGAGAGTCGGCTACGGCATTTCGGAAATTCTACAGACCCAACCCTCGAAGCGTAGCGCCCTTAATCATATCCAGAAGGCAGGAACATGTACTCGGCATGCTTCTGTTGTTGTTCAAGGCTTCACTACCTTGAACCTGTAGCCGCGATTTCGATGCATTTGTCCGAAACCCCTGAATCCCAAGCCCTTTCTCTTTTGTGAGGCCTTCCTTTCGCCTGTGGCCTGGTGGGTTTCCAGCTGCCAAAGTTGCGGCTGGTCGCAGGTGTGCGGTGCAGTTATGGTTAGGGTGCAGGCCCTTAGAGTTTTGATTTGGGGTTCAGGGTTTGGGCTAAGCTGTTCGCATTGTTCTCGAAAAAGGAAGACATTGTGGTGTCTGTGTCTTCTACAGGAGACAAGTCGCCTACATGAACAAACGAAAGCTAGTAAGGGCCCGAACTACTTTCATGGATGACTTGACAGGTCTCGAAGCGAGGAGCAGCACTCGCTTGACCATGCAGAATGCTCCGGTACCGGTCGTGCGATGTGCTCTGAGGGCACGCCTTCCGATCATGCACTGAGGGCAGAGAAAGCATGCGCACTTCCTGTGTTCCAGTTCCTAGGAGGCTTGTAGACACCCGCCCGCCACTTTTTTGTGCTTTCGGCGAGATGTTCGGACGATGGAGACTCTTGTATCCCGTAAGAGGACCCTCTGCTTGCGACAAGCCTGCACAAACTTGGGTTTTGCTAAGAAATTTAACTCCAGTTTCCGGCAGAACGAAACTCAGCCTGGGCAACTGCGGAAGACAACTTGGAGACAATGGAGAGCAGACCGGGGTTTGTTTTTGGTGAAGTGTAGACTGCAGGCTGTGTTACGTCTCCCAGTTGAGAGCAACATCCCTCCATATATGTTCGGGGTCTTATGTAAGGCATGTAAGGTCGCACACATTCAGAGGTGCTTATGACGAACCAGAGCAATTGGCCGTTTGTGCCGGCGGGTGTTACTATTAGTCTGATAGCTTTTGATTACAGAAGAACTGGAACAGGATGAAAACTTCTCATGCAGACGCCTGACAGAAACAAAACCTTTTTTCAGCCCTAAGTTCTACACCCTAAAGGCCTACTAAAGGCCAGAAGCCTAAACCCGAGTAGCACCCTAAATCCCAAAAGGCGACAGAAGTCTGAACGACTCGCCGTGCCGGGCCCTTCTGGCAGGTCTCTCCGTGTCAGTTTCGGTGTAGGGTTGAAAAGATCAGGGTCAAGGGTTTTGCAGAGTTTCGTCTTTAGGGTTTAGGACAGGTTAGAGTGTTCGATGTCCTTAGTCTCTCAACTCTTGCCCCATGACTGGCTCCAGCGCGGCATGTAGGGGAGAAATATGAGCATTCACCACGGTTAAGAGCCTGGGTTTTTCTAGTGAAGAGCTCGACGGATATCCCGGGCCGGTCACGTTGTCCTGCAGAGCATGCACAGACTCAATAACAACGATGCATGAGAGGAACATCGTAAGCAGCTTCTGTTGTAGAAGCCCTTGCCTACACATGGCTTCGATGAATCTCAAGGTATCTTGGCAAAGTCCGGCTGTTTTCCGTTCCCTGTATCACGGGGAGAATACTGGAGAATGCATGCGTAGTATAGAGGAATTCATAATTACCTATACTGTTTTTTGGGGGGCTCCTCATTATAAGTATAGTATAATAAACCCCGAAACCCTATTCTAATTCTGAAGGCCCCTACGTTAGTTCATGCCGGTCCTCACTACAGTCAATACAGCCTAGCACAAG